GAGACAAGAACAACAGGGAAATATGAGCAAAGATTTCATTTAGTCCAGAGAGTAACCCCGAGGAATGTTCGCTGTATGAAGAGAGGCAATTATGTGATCAGTTAGAGGCCATTAGGCTGGATTGCGCTGGCGTTTATGATTAAAATGAAAGCAGAGACGGTTACAGTAGGCTGAGGAGCCGAGTGAGCGTGGTGCTTCGTGAACAGAGGTCAGAGCTCAACACGCTCATGTGTGAATGGGGATCAGACTGTGAGCGAGGGTCAAGAAATCACAGAAGAAACTCATTCTAGATGGACATCAGTAAACCTTATGGATTTGTCAGGTCTTGCAGTCTAAATGACCCTAGCGGATCTGTTTTTTTATCGTTAGTTGTTCCCCTGTTTAATTTGTTAACTACTAATGTGTTTCAGGCACATGTGTTTATACTCATTATAACACTAAACTGACAGCTTTATCTCAGTCCTTGGTGGTTCATCTCAAACGTTTCTCCTGTTTGTCCACCAGGGGGCATCCTGATGTACGGGGCCCTGGTGCTGTTCGATCAGGAGTTTGTGCATGTGTTGGCGATCTCCTTCACTGCTCTGATCCTGACGGAGCTGCTGATGGTGGCGCTGACGGTCCGCACCTGGCACTGGCTCATGGTTGTAGCCGAACTTATCAGTCTTGGCTGCTACCTCGCTTCCCTCGCCTTCCTGAACGAATACTTTGGTAAGAACCGACAAAAGGCATTTTTTGGACATTCTTATTTTATATTTTTATTTCATTTTTAATGTAATTTAATTCTGTTTTATTTCATTTATTAATTTACTTATTTATATATTAATAAATTTTTGTAGTTGCATATACTTTTTTGAATATTATTTATCTACCTTTCTACCTACCCATTTATTATTTATTTATTTGTTTATTCATTCATTTATTGTTTGTTATTTTTAATATGAATTTTTAGTTTATTAATTGCATATCTGTTCTTAAATTTGACACTTTTTTTGGTTTAATTTATATTTTATTCATTTGAATGTAAACAAATCAAAAATATAGATAGATAGATAGATAGATAGATAGAAAACATTTATATCTATTTATCTATTGTTCTATCTAGCATTATATCCATTGTTCTTTCTGTCTATCATTCTATGGTTGTATTGTTCTATCACTGTCGTTTTTATCTGTTTACTATATAATTAATTAAATAATTGTTTGATTTTTAACTATATCTATCGATCTATCTATCTATCTATCTGTGCTGTCAAACGATTAATCGTGATTAATCGCATCCAAAATAAAAGTTTTTGTTTACATAATATATGTGTGTGTACTGTGTATATTTATTATGTATATATAAATACAAACAAAAGTAAACAACCTTATTTTGGATGCGATTAATTGTTTGACAGCACTACTATCTATCTATTTATCTATCTCTTTATTGTTTAATCTGCCTTTCTGTCTGGCTATATAATAAATGAATTCAAGAATTATTTGTAAATAATTGTTTGATTTTTAACTATATCTATCGATCTATCTATCTATCTATCTGTGCTGTCAAACGATTAATCGTGATTAATCGCATCCAAAATAAAAGTTTTTGTTTACATAATATGTGTGTGTGTACTGTGTATATTTATTATGTATATATAAATACAAACAAAAGTAAACAACCTTATTTTGGATGCGATTAATTGTTTGACAGCACTACTATCTATCTATCTATCTATCTATTTATCTATCTCTTTATTGTTTAATCTGCCTTTCTGTCTGGCTATATAATAAATGAATTCAAGAATTATTTGATTTTGATCTCTCTCTCTCTCTCTCTCTCTCTCTCTCTCTCTCTCTATATATATATATATATATATATATAGACTGTTTCCCCTTAAGCTTAAATAAAAGGCCAAAATGAAAACATCCTCTGTAACAGATGTTCTGTAGGCTCTGGTTTCAGTGTTCGATCCAAACACACAGATTTAGTTTAGACTGATGTACAGTAACTAAAACTTTTAAGCTCTTTCTTCTTCTTTCTCTCCATCTCTGTTTTGTGACTGTGCCTCAGGCATAGGTCGCGTGACCTTAGGAGCTTTCCTGGGTAGGTTTGTCTTTCCCTGTGTTCACTCTGTTGTTTCACCAACTATCATTTCCTGTGTCCACAAACATGTCCGTTCTCCTCCCTCGGGTTTCAGTCTCGTGTGGTGCGGGCCCCTGAGAAGGAGCCATTCAAATGTGCCCTAACCCTGTGATCACTCATTTTTCAGAACATTCCATCGGTGAAGTGCATCCCATCCACTTCATCCACAGCCTGACAGACTTCTTTTTCATAACTTGTGAAAAAAGTGCTTTGATGATATAAACACTTTGACCCTGACGTTTTATTTTCTTCATCTGTTTTGTTTGTCTTCAGATCTTTCGTTTATCACCACATGGGTGTTCTTGTGGAAGGTGTGCGTCATCACGCTGGTCAGCTGTTTGCCGCTCTACATCATCAAATATCTGAAGCGGAAATTCTCCCCGCCAAGTTATTCCAAACTCTCCTCCTAAACTTTCCATATGGTCACATAGTGTCAAAAGGCATGCTGATGTATTTATAAGCACACACGACTGCTACATCAAACACTTTGAAACTCATCTAATCCTTTTTTTTAAATGCTGGATGTTAGTTCACCCAAAAATGAACAAGCTATCATTTACTCACCGTCATGTTGTTCTAAACCTTTATGGCTTACAGTCTTTTTTTGGAAACACAAAAGGAGAAGTTCATCAGGATGTTCATGCTGCTCATCTTGAAATCTGCTTTTGTGTTTTATCTTGAAGGAAAATCCTATATGTTTGGAATGACACAAGGGTGAGTAATTAATGACCAAACATTCATTTTTGAGTAAAACGATCCCAGCTACAAATGCCTAAAAGTGCTTTATGATGCTGTTTATGTGTGCTTCATGAATGCTTTTTCAGTGACATAATGTGGTTTTTGTGAGTGTGTGTGTGTGTATATATATATATATATACATACTTTGCCATTATAAACTAATATGAGTGTTTCTGTGCTCATCATGTTTCTGCACTTAAAGATAGTGGAACAGTTGTAGGACAAAATGGTGAGTAGTATTGAGTACTTGAAGAGGCTAAAGCAGAAAAAAAGAGATCAAGATAGAACTAAAGAGAAACCAAAGGGTGTTTAGGCACCCACACTGGAATGACGGGCCCAATCCTGTCACTTTTTACTTACCGTAAATGTATACGAAGGAAAAATCAGCATTACATGTTTTTTATTGAATATATGATAGCTTTTTATTGTTTTTTTTATTGGTGGTATGTAATGATGTTAATGATTTCATGATAAAGTTTCAACTATAGTGAACCTTTCATCATTAGTATTATCACACCCATCAGCACTTTCCCTTCTGGCACATTCTGTATTATTAACTTTATTAATGAGCTCTGGGTGGGCGGGGCTTGATAAATACCTATGGTTGTGATTGGAGTGTTCTGATTGCATGAGTGCATACTGAAGTTGAATTCGGACAGCTCTGGTTTCCTGTTGTGCTGTGGCTGCTGCTGCCATATGATCCTGCTGCAAAACTGTGTAAATGTAAACCAGAGCACAGCTTGTGTTATTACAGCAGGAACTATTTGTTCTGGGAACAACGGTCCTCTCAACCTGACATTCTAAATGACATTGTATACGACTTTTGACATTTGACAAATCAAACTTGATTGATGCATGACTTGATTGACTTTTATTACTTATTGTGACGCCATCAAAACAAGACATTAATGTATCAAAGTTTTAAATTCCTTGTTTTATTGTTGTGATTATTGTTTTTATTTTATTTTATGTAAAGCACTTTGAATTACCATTGTGTATGAAATGTGCTATACAAATAAACTTGCCTTGCCTTGCCTTGCCTGTGACTGTGCTGACAGTGTAAAGTTGGCTCAATAATGTGTAAGATCATCTTGCCTTATCTTTATAGACCAAGTCAACTGGAATTAGGAATGAGTTTTATCATTCACTTTATTTTCTATAGCCTATAGAGTGTGTGAGAGTGTGTGTTTACAATACTGAATGAAACAATGCCAAGCACACGTGTGTCGTATGCTGTTCCTTTCTGGTGGATTTCCTTTCTGCTTTGAAGAGTTGTACTGTACTCAGGAAAACCACTAACTGATTTCTTCTACTGTATATAAACCGTTAATTAACCCTGTTACAGGCCTAACAACAATAGCTTATTTATTATTTGTTTGAGTATTTTGCTTTTGTTTCTCTGGCAATTTTCTGTTGACTGATACGTGACTGAAAAATGTGATGTTTTTGTGGTGTTGTTACTGCGACTGCAGTCGCTGCTTCTGTTAGCGTATTTTCTCAATGTCATCAGCACGCTGGTTTCAGCAGTATAATTTAACATTTTAGCATGACTTGATTGACTTTTATTACTTATTGTGTATTTTTGTTGGATTGGTGTTATAAATAAATGACTTTTTTAAGATCGTAAAAAACTGCGAACAAAATAATTGAATGTTCTAGCTGCTTAGAAATAGCTTTTCTCGCTCATCAGCACAGCAGTTATGTTTTTATAGACAATGACACCTCACAATCAGCTATTTATTTTGGAGTTTTACCATTTTTGAGGACATTCACAGGAAATACTGCACTAGTTTTGTCCCTAAATATATAGCAGATATGCTCACTGAATATAAACCTAACAGACCACTCAGATGGGTGCAGAGCCAGTGGTGGTTTTGTAGGCAAACATTAATGCCTTGAATTTAATGCGAGCAGCTACTGGTAGCCAGTGCAAATTGATGAACAGAGGTGTGACATGCACACATCTGAATATTTGGGTTGAAGTGTTCTGGAACAGTGTTGTAAATACAACTTAACCACTGATTTCTAGTCAGTGATTTCTAGTCAGAAATCAAATTTGGCCTTACAAAAGAGGACACGACTACAAATCAGTGGTTAAGTTGTATTTACAACACTGTTCCAGAACAGTTCAACCCAAATATTCAGATGTGTGCAGCACATTTTATGGAGGACTGTTTACTGATCCTGGTAGAGTAGACTACAATGCTGGCTGTTCTGACTCACAGACTGTAAGTACGTTTTTATATATAAAGAATTTGCCGCCGATGATTCAAACGCGAGTTTTGAGCAGTGTAGAGTAGCTTTTGTAGTTTGTCATTTCTCCGATCACAAATGCAGACAGAGTTTTATGTTTACGCGGCGTGATGCAACAAGTAAAAAGACAGTATAAGTCATTATAATCCGTAATTATGTCCCCACTGGATGCAACAAATGCCTCGTTTATAATGGGTTTTAATGTTTTTGTTTCGTCGCGTAACATTAAGGTAAGGGGCGTAACATTTCAGTCACACGCTTGAGGTATTCGGCCAATCACAGCACACCTCGCTTTTTCAGACCGATGAGCTTTATAAAAATCGACGTGTTTCAGAAAGGCGGGGCATAGAGGAGAAACAATAATGTACAGTATGTGGAAAATAATGTGTTTTTTTTACCTTAAACCGCATAAATACATTTCATTACACCAAATACACAAAATAATGTTCTTTTTAGCAACATCATATGGACCTTTTAACAATTCAACTCTTTTTCTAAAGATAGCCTACTGTAAGGTTAAACAGTTTTAAACATTTTTTTTTATTATTGGAAAGGTTATCATTAACTAGACCAACATTTGGTTCCAAGCTTGCAAGCCCGTATAAAGTTATTAATGGTCAATTGATTTGTAACTTGATTATTTGTTCATGTATTTATTCATTCGTTTGTGCGTTTATTTATGCATTTGTTAGAATTAATTGTATAATTTAATTGCAAGAAAATTAATGCTGGATATATATGGTTGTAAAATGCTTCATATAGAATTTGTAACGGGTGAGTAAAAAGTGAGTTACAAAATATGTTCTTAAACACTGACCCCTTTGTTGAAAATAACAAAAATTGCTTACTATTTTAAAGTTTCAGGCCCCTTTTTTACCCAAATCATGGAAAGTGCCATTTCATGTGGAAAGGACGTGAGAAGCTATGACAAACATCCATGGGAGGACGCAGTTTGAGTGAGTATAAGCTTCTGTCTCTGACATCTTTACAGTTCAGCGCTTCACAATTAATTGTATGCTCTGCTTCTAAACCACTAGAGGGCGGCATTTACACAATATTTAGTATCACAGAAGACAAAGGTTGGATCCACATGGAAACTACATGTGCTGGTAAGATTGCATTCAACATTAGGCTTTCAGACGTGTGACCCTGGTTAAAGCAATACATATCTTTATTAATTTTACACCTTTTTTTACCTTGAATTTTTTTAATTATGTATACATTACCAGTCAAACGTATTTTTTCCTTTCTTTGTTAACTAGACCAACATTTGGTTCCAAGCTTGCAAGCCCGTATAAAGTTATTAATGGTCAATTAATTTGTAACTTGATTATTTGTTCATGTATTTATTCATTCGTTTGTGCGTTTATTTATGCATTTGTTAGAATTAATTGTATAATTTAATTGCAAGAAAATTAATGCTGGATATATATGGTTGTAAAATGCTTCATATAGAATTTGTAACGGGTGAGTAAAAAGTGAGTTACAAAATATGTTCTTAAACACTGACCCCTTTGTTGAAAATAACAAAAATTGCTTTTTTACCCAAATCATGGAAAGTGCCATTTCATGTGGAAAGGACGTGAGAAGCTATGACAAACATCCATGGGAGGACGCAGTTTGAGTGAGTATAAGCTTCTGTCTCTGACATCTTTACAGTTCAGCGCTTCACAATTAATTGTATGCTCTGCTTCTAAACCACTAGAGGGCGGCATTTACACAATATTTAGTATCACAGAAGACAAAGGTTGGATCCACATGGAAACTACATGTGCTGGTAAGATTGCATTCAACATTAGGCTTTCAGACGTGTGACCCTGGTTAAAGCAATACATATCTTTATTAATTTTACACCTTTTTTTTACCTTGAATTTTTTTAATTATGTATACATTACCAGTCAAACGTATTTTTTCCTTTCTTTAATCCTTGAAAATAGCTTTGTAAACAAATGCAAATCCCCTCTACCTATGATTTTCTATATAAATCTATAACTTTATTATCTTTTTTGGAAATAGATTAATTGGACTTGATAGTGTAGGTAAAGCATCCAGCAAGTGTGTAGCATATGTGAACATCTCAGACAAGTTTTGAACACGTTTATATATATTATTGTAATAAAAAAAAATAAAAAAAACATGTTTCATGTAATTTGCTCTTGTAATGGCAAAAATTGATGTTCAGCATCATTGCTACAGTCTTCAGCGTCACATGATCCTTCAGAAATCATTCGAATATGCTAATGTGCTGCTCAAGAAGCATTTCTTATTATTATAAATGTTGAAAACGGTTGTGCTGTTTAATATTTTTGTGCAAACGTAAGATTTGATTAATGGAATGTTAAAAAGAACAGTATTTTTAAAAAAATTTAAAATCTTTTGTAACAGCATAAATTGTGATCAATTTAATGCATCTTTGCAAAATAAAAGTTTTTTTTCTCTCTCAAAGAAATTACTGACCCCAAACTTTTGAACTGTAGTGTGTGTGTTATATACAAATTATTATTTATTGTTTGAAATACTATTACTATTATTTTAAAATGTGTAAAATAGTCATAATAAAGAATGAGCAGTTGTGTCCAAACCTTTGACTGGTAGTGTATAT